GACATATCAAATATTTTATAGATCCATTTTTCCTATAGATCTATTTTAATCCATCTTGCTATCGAAGTATATTCCGACAGTACTCAACCTTTCTAAAGTGCCTTGGCCCTCCTTCAAAAGAAATATTTTGCTTCATTTTTTATATTATTTATTATTATCATTATTATTTATATTATTATAATTATGAAATTAATGTGTGCAAATTCATCCTCATGAGTTCCTCATCGCTGATGAAATAGACTTTATCCTCACCTTGCATATAGGAAATATTGTTTTTTATTTTTTATTGTGTGTTAAATTGAGAAATATGGGAGTTCATCCTTGGTAATTTTGACATCCTAAAATCATTAGTGTAGTCCATTTTACAATACAAGTGATCATTGAGCACTCTTCTAGTGTGAACAATACACTTTGAATTGATGTTGTGTACGATACAAGTGTTCATTGAGCACTCTTCAAGTGTGACTAGGGGTGCAAACGAGTCGAGTCAAGCTCGAGCCAGGCAGTGTTCGAGTCGAGCTCGACTTTCAAATGCCGAGCTCGAGCTCGACTCGTCTCATATGTCGAGTGGCTCGTCGAGCTCAATCGAGCTCTGCTGCAAACTCTGTCCCGAGTGGCTTGTCGAGCTCAGTCGCGCTCCAATATTGCGAACTCCTTCGTCGTCATGAGCTTGCCATCGGCTCCGCTCATCCGTCGTCGAGTTCTCAATCGCGTTCGTAGTCATGATCAACTGAATCTAATCCAGACGCGACGTCAAGATCCCGTATGTCGTCGAGATATAGATTCCCGAGCTCTCCATTGCGTCCGCCGTCAAGTCCAGAGCTCGTCGTCGTGGCCGCCATCGACTCCCAAGCTCGTCGTCGCGTCTGCCGTCAAGATGGCGTCCGCCATTGAGATCTAGAATCCAGAGCTCGTCAAGATCTCATCCGTCGTTGAGATCTAGATTTCTGAGCTCGTCATTGCGTCCACCGTCTAGTCCCTAGCTCGTTGTCAGGGCCACCGTCGAGTCCCAAGCTCGTCGTCGCGTCTGCTGTCAAGATAGCGTCCGCCGTCAAGATCGCATCCGCCTTTGAGATCTAGCATCCGGAGCTCGTCAAGGTCGTGTCCGCTCGCAGAGTCGCAGCTACCCAAATTTTTTCTCCCGCCCACTCACACACGCGAGCTACTCGACGAGCCTATGAGCCGAGTCGGAGGTCTGATTGAGCTCGAGCTCGATAAGCCATCGAGCTCGAAATGGTGTTCGAGCTCGACTCGCGAGCTCGAAAAGCTCGACTCGTCGAGCCAGTTACCGAGTCGAGTTGCACCCCTAAGTGTGACCAATACACTTTGAATTGATCTGACATAGTGTTCGTTTTCTAATATTTTTTATGCACTCAAATGAGACAATTGGTTGAGTTGCTTTGTCGAATAGATGTAGGTCAAGAGCTTAAAAATCTTATGTGATGTTGCATCGGCTTTCTAATATTGTAATGCACTTAAACAAGATGGTTGAGTTGGTTTGTAGGATATATATGTAGTTCAATAGTTTAAAATTTTGAACTCATTCATATCCTATAGCAATCTGAATTTTGATTTAATTGTTCACCCTCCGTAACCTTGATTTCCCTCGCACAGTATCTAATTGACAAATCATTCATACATATGAACACTTGGCGACATTCTCTTCCATCTCAATGATATAATGTGAGAATTACCATGTTCAACAATTTTCATCAAGAAATTGAACCATTAAATTTTTAATTAACTCAAACACTTTGATATTTCCATGATCTGATGCATAAATTGTCACCATAGACAATTTAATTGATCAGCAACTAAATTTGATCTTCATATCAACCACCCAACACTTTATCAAGATATCATCATTTTTTTTATGAAATGCTCGAAGCAATTTTATTAAAATAAGTCAAATAACAAGCACCTAGGTGAAGTAAAACTTTATCAAGATATCATCATTAGCCTGATTGTAATCTTATAAAATTTACCCATAAATCTCCATGATATCCTCCAATGATATAATACTTGTGAGGTACTTCACCATTTTAATCATTTTGTCTTAACTCTAGAAATTATATCATTTATGTCCCCATTTTTCTATATAAGAGATCCAATATGTTTAAACCCATCACATAAATATCATTTTATATTTTAATAATATTAATTAATAATTTTTAATATTGCACTACTAAAATTACATACTAAATCTAAGTAACCTATTATCTCAATATTTTCTGCATTGTTTTAATTTTTTACTTATTTCAATGGATATATCACATAGAAAAAGTTTAAAACAAGTTATAAGGAGACATATTAGCACAGATGAACACAGTCATAAACTTAAAAAGAGCAAATGCTGAAGAAAATATTTAAGCCAAAAACAAAAATTAGCTTTATCGTGGAATTTTTATGAGTTTGCATATGAAGATAAGGAAATATTTTTATATAATGGTTTAAAAGTAAATAAATATAACCTTATGCAAGAAGCTAAATTGAAAAAGTAAAAAATCTTATGTATTGGGAAAGTGTATAAGTTATATTTAGGGAAACATACTAGCGAGAATGAACAATGGATAAAAGTGGATAGAGAACGATAAATAAAATTGCAAAGATAAAGTTAGTGCCTTAGTGATAAGTTTATTACTATTAACCAAACTAATAGTGAGAAGATTATAATATAGTTACTTCTTGTGCTTCTTAAGAAAGCTTAAAAAACTAACCATTAATAAAATAAATACCTGAGAAAAAGAGAATAGCTTTTCATTTTGATTTAAATGGGCATTGGCATGTACATGCTAGTAAAAGAAAAGGATCCATGCTGGTGTTCAGAAGAGAGAAATGTGGTGGGAAAAACTATAGTTCAATTTGAGGTAGAGCATATGATCTCATAATAGTGAACCCATACTTCAAAAAAAAAAAAAAAATCAATAACTGTCAGTTACAGAATTTGGCTCCACTATGTCACAAATAGACTAATTTTCACCACAAAGGAAAGAACAACAAATATGAAAAAAGTTGTACGGTAATTTTAAAAGAAACTTACCCAAGAGACTAAGTTAAGCATTTGATGATTTCCTTTGTAAATATAACAAAAAAACCAAAACGGATAAATGTTGTACAAAGTTGTGATACAACACAAATATAAGAAGTGTTGCCAATGTAAAAAGATTGATTGTTAAAAGAGAATGTTAAAAGTTTAAAGCTGACTAAAATTGATGCGTAATAGAAAAAGGGTGTGTCCAATTCATGAAACTCTCAGCAATCTTGGATCTAGATAAACTAGGAAACATATCAAGAAAAATAGATATGCATTTAAATAAGAAAAATGAAACCCATGCAGAGATACGTTAACTTTAAAAAAACTACAAGGATTGTAAAATGATAATAAACAAAATCAAAGCTACAACTAGATATGATTTATGTGACATTCTAGATACAAAGGACAAAAAAAAGTGGTTTATAAAAATATACCATTAAAAACCCAAAAGCTTGTTGATGAAGATATATAAATGAAAGCTTTCGTCTCATATGAGATTTCTTTTAAGATTCACAGGCTAAATAAAGGTATTGGAGGGTTATGGTTAATAAAACTTTCAAGCAATCTTAAAAACTACTTTGATTCTACATGAAAAAAAAGCATTTTAGAGCCAATAGTTAGGAAGAAAGGCATGTATAAGATTGTGTTAACTGTGGGAGAATCAAGCTTATAAGCTATACAAAGAACTTATGTGGAAAAAGGGCGATGGAACCACCGATAAGAAAATTTAAAATCTTCAAGAAATAATATAACTTTATACCAAAACATTAAATAGGGCAATCTTTGTAGTAAGGAATTACTTGGAGAAATATACATAGCAATAAAAAATATTTTTAGCAAGAAACCATGAATCATAAAGCTTAATGTGGCAAAAATGATAATGCCATGATGAATATGTACTACAACCATGAAGATAAGAGTGATGATATTAGAAGGACTATCAAATAACCTATTGAGGATAAGGTTGTAGGCACAATGCACTTACATTTTTTGGAATGTAAAATAAAGAGAAGAATATTCAAGAATAAAGAAAGGACAATAACGTGAAAGGAATACAGGAAGCATACCAAGGTGACATAATTCCAAATTCTACAGAGAATTTGCATAAACTAGATTAAATACTAGAAAACAATAACATGAATGAAACAAAAAAGAAGGATTCAAACCCCACCTCTAATGATGAAAATGGTTAAGTCATGGAATATTTTTTAAATAACAGTATTTATCAAAAATATTCCAACACATTTGCAAACAGTAAGTTTTTTTCTGTTAGGATATTCAAAACTACAAAGTTTATGTTAATAATAAGGGAATAGCACCTGGGCACTTGTTCAATGCTTCAGGGCACAATTTTTTTTATATAATTAGCTAAATATTAGTTCAAATGTCACTGATTTCTAGTAAGAATACACTTTTCCCCAAATCGATTCGCCAGAAAAGGCTCAAATACATGAAAAGTTTGTATGAACTTTAAGAAGATTTTGTTCAATGATAATGAGTTTTTAGTGTTAACTATAAAAATTATGTTGGTTCAAAGTTATTACAATAAGAAATGACAATGCTATCTATATTAAAATGCCATATAATGATTTTTCATATGTCATTGAACCAAATAGTTGACATCTTTAAATAACACAAGACGATATTACAAATGTCACAAAACCAAACAACTCCAAAGAAAATTGGGGAATTTTCATCGAGCTGAAGTTTTATTTCTGATATGAACATGTGGTTTAACAATCAATTTAATAGCATACCTTGTGGTATCTTTTGCTTTATTAACAAGACCAAACCAAGGTTAAGTAATTCAATCAGAGCATAGATGCACGTATAAACAAAACAACATCTACAGGAAACAAAGTGCTGCCGCATCAGCATCAGGAGAAGCACTCAAACCAGCAAGTATTTAGAAGAAAATCACAAGTTATTGAAAGAAAATTCAAAATTCATGATATGAAATGCATACCCCAAGCCACAGTGCACTCTTCACTCGTGGCACTTGCTTGATTGGCCTGACATTCAATGCCTGCAAAATTTCACAACGGCAAAGCCATTGAAACCGCAAGCTCAAAACTCATCCGGAATAAATCACTGAAAAAAATAAAGCAAGAATGAAATTTTATAAGCAAGCGAAAGGCTCACATAGATCCATGATGTGGTTTCGGCAAATTGCACAGTTATCAACCACAATATCTGCGAAATTATAAGCCAAATACAATTAATTTATCAGTCGGTCACTGGCTCACCGGTCAGAGAGGAACTAGGAACCGTAAACCCTAACCCAGTGAAGGAAACAATTTCACGAAATCCAAGCCCAATAAGGTAGGGCTTCACAGGGTATCAGATAGCGTACCCCAGGCCCAGAGAGCGACGGCATTCCATTTCTTGATCTCGAACCGCTTCGGCTTCCTTGATGACGACGGCCCTGCGCTGCTCGACCCCTCGCCGACGGGAACCATGTTGATGTCTGTGTCAAGAGTCGCCATCGATGAGCAGACGCACCGGGATAAGACCGAGTTCGGAGGTTCCGACGAAAATGGTGCAGACGAAAAAATTAGGGAAAGTTTTTACATGAATAAAATATATGTTTTTATTTTATTACTTGACAGGGTGTTGTTTAGCAGGAATTTCTCTGAGGAGCTGGAGCAGGTGGTTAAGCATTTGAAGGGTAATATATCATCAGGTATGGACGGTAATTATTTATTCTTTCATCAAAAATTACTGGTCAGTTATTAGTGATGATGTTTGGAATGCTATCAAGTCTTTTTTTACTCTTGGGAAGCTGCTTGGAGAGAAACAAATGTAGTCTTGATTCCTAAGACTAGTAATCCCTGCTTGCCTTCTAACTATCGTCCTATTAATCTTTGTAATTCAAATTACAAGATTGTGGCTAGTAGTCTGTTGAACAGGTTCACTAGTCTTCTTTCTAAGATTGTTTCTGAAGTTCAATATGCATTTATTAAAAGAAGATCTATGTCTGATCAGATTTTACTTGCCCAAGAGATTTTTCATAAGATGAGGTTCTCTAGTGCTAAGAAGGTGTTTTTGGCTTTGAAGATAGATATAGAACATGTCTATGATAGTATGAGTTGGGATACTTTATATCAAGTGCTTGAGAGGTATGATTTTCCTGAGAATTTTTCTAGCCTCATTATGGAGTGTGTAAAGAATCATAAATTCTCCATTATGGTTAATGGAGTTAATTATGGTTGCATTGAAGGTAGGAGTGGATTAAGGAAAGGTTGTCCACTCTCCATATATTTTTATTTTGTACGCACAGCTTTTGTCTGATGCCTTTGATCAGGAAGATAAAGGTGTGGGTATTAAAGTGGCTTCGTCTACTCCTTTGGTATCTCATTTGATGTATGAAGATGATGTGGTGGTTTTTTTTATGCTAGTTGGCAAAGCTTGAAGATTGTTAAGAGGATTCTTAATGACTATTGCAAGTGGACGGGTCAGAAGATCAACTTGTTGAAGTCCTCGATCCTGTTTGGCAACTCTGTGAAGAAGAGAAGATGTTGTAAATTGGCAAAAAAAAGGACTTTAGGAAGGTAAATGAGATGGAAGGTAAATGAGATGAAATATCTTAGGGTGAAAATGGTGTTGAGGAGAAAAGTCTTTTCAGATTTCCAAAACCTATTGGCAAGGGCAGTCAGTAAGTTGAATATGTGGGGTAATAAATTTATTTCTCAAGCTGGAAAGCTTACTTTGCTCAAGTCTTCATTTCTTAATTTACCTCTTTTTCTATCAGCTCATTCTTTAATTCCTATGGGGATTTTAAATGACTTAGATGGGATGTGCAGAAATTACTTGTGGCCTAGTAATAATGGTCATCTTGGCTTGCATTATGTTGCTTTGGAATGTTATGTGTATGCCTAAGTCGAAGGGTGGCTGGGGTTTGCAGTCAGTTATTGATAAGAATATGCCTTTGAGAGCCAAGTTTGCTTGAAACTACATTTCCAAACCAAATTCCATTCTTAATAGGTCGTTGATTGCAAAATATGGGAAGGATCCTTGGAGTGCAGATAGGAGGAAATGTCTATCATCTACTTGGAAAATCATTTTACAAGGTGCTGAGGTTTTACATCCTTTGATTAGATGGAAAATTGGACCTGGATTGAAGATCAAAACGCTGAAGGACAAATGGATTTTGGATAGGAGGATTGATAGGTTGCCGACCTTTGTGGATAGTTCTATATTGGAGGATTGTATTTTTGCTTTTATTACTAGAGGAGTATGGAATGTGGAAAAACTGAAGTGGAATTTTGGTGTTCAGTTGGTGGAGCTAATACTGGAGATTCTTATTTATGCTAATCTACGGGATGACCAAGTGGAGCTGTTGTATAGGTGTTCAGGTAAAATAGTCACTGCTCTTGCTACAGAGAAATTGTTTGACGATGCTGAAGATGATGATTACTTGATCTGGTTGAAGAAGGTAAAGCTTAGAAACCGTGTTGAGTTTTTTTGGTGGAGGTTGAAGAAAGGAGCTATTCCATCCAAGGCTTTTCTCTACTATAGAGGATTGGCAAATACTGAGGGCTGTCCGAGAGGCTGTCCATTCATAGAAGATGTACATCATGTGGCTGCTCAATGTGGGAAACTGGCTCGGGTTCTTGTTATCCTTGCTAAGTGGGGTTTTCATTTTCCAAAGCTTGATTCTTTTGAATTTTTTTTAATGTTTCTTCAGCAATGTTCTTTGCATCAATTTCTTGGGAAATTTGTATTGTTCGACGGTTTTTCTATGTTGGCAAAGCAGGAACAAGGTTGTTCACAGTGGCTTTGAGGATTGTGTCTCTCATTTGGCTGCTAATGCAATGAGCTTTGCATCTGCATCTACATCTTTTAATTATGATCATATTTGGGAGAGTTGGGATACTAATCAGCTTGTGAAGCTGTCTCGCCATTCTTTGTATCCCCCTCCTCCTGGATGGATCAAAGTTAACTTGGATGCCTCACTATCAACTTCCAACATGGCAGGCTTTGGAGGAGTGATTCGAGACATCAAAGGAAGGTTCCTAAGTGCTTTTGGGGTAAGCTTGGTGCATTGGGATTTCTCTCAAGTTGATATTATTTCTATTTCTTCCCTGGGCAAATTTCTTCAAGATTAGATGTATGATTGTATAGGCATTATCATTGAGGGTGATAACTTGAATGTTATCAAATTATTTCTGAATTCAATGAATAAGGTGGAATCTGAGGTGGAGGGCTTGGATCCGAAGGATTTCCTCTTTCTTAGAGACTTCAACCAAGTTATTTTTTAGCATGTGAGAAGAGATTGTAATAAGGTTGCCGATATGTGCTAAGTTGGCTCTTTCTTGCGATTTTTTTTTGGGAGTCTCTCAATTGTAAAAAAATTTCTCCTTCTTTTTTAGCTTTGTTAAAGGAGGAATTTAGTTATTTGTAGTTTGTTTCTAATAAAATGCTTTGGCAATTTCTTCAAAAAAAAAGAATAAAATATATCTTTTTACGAATATATTATGGCACATTATCATATAAATTAGTATTAGGAGGTTTTAATAAAATCAGATTGGATCGGCTAGATCAAAGGTCAGATGTCCAGTCTAATTCAAAAAAAAAAATTGAATTCGTATTGAACCAGGCTGAGCTGATCGATTAGAATGGGATGGTTCTATTAAAATTTATTTTTTAAAAATTAAATTAAAAATAACATACGTTAATTTATTAAATTAATTTAAATTTCTTAAATAATTTTATTAAATATGAATATTAATTTCATCATATATAATATATGCATGTTATCTAATATAATGTTTTTTATATAAAAAGTGTACACTTCACACTGTATAAAGACTTGAAGGCAAGTATCTCAAACTTTCCTATGACATGTGACTTTAAATTATTTAATTATTTAATTATATTGAGAGGTAATATATGATAATCTGCTGAAAAGTATAAAATTCAAATTTTTAGAATTATGAGGTTTAAGGTTGCATTATCATAATTATTTAAATAATTTTATTTATTTTAATAGCATTATTATTTATTATATCATTCGGTTCAACCCCAATCTTTTTGGTCGAACCATGAACCTCTCATTTTTTCGGTTCGTTGCCCAGCCTGATTTTCGCAACCTTGGTTTTTATATAACAATCATAAAATTTTTCTATATTTTTATATTTAATATATGAGTTTTATATTTATTTATATAATATTTAAATTTTTAAATCATATTAAAAATTTAATTAATATTAATGTATTTAAAGTGAAATATGTATTCATACATATGCTTTGATTTGATTTTGGTAAACAAAATAATAAATAATTATAAAGATTTAAGTGTTAAATATATGAATACATAAGAATATTTTGCTATATATGTATATCCCCCTAAATATTATTGCATGCGATGAATTCATTACAATATGAAAAATTTATGTCTTAATTTTGCACGAATATTTTACATACATACAACTAAAAAACACTAGAGATATTAAATTTTTTAAGTTAGACATTGCTTAGTTAAAATAATCAACTTTGTAAGTGAACTTATAGTTCACTTTTCCCTATATGGAAAAAGAATTATAAAATTTATAACACTAGCTTAACTTTAGTTTAATGTGGTCGAAAGTTTTGGAGATGTAGTTAAGAGTGCTGATAATATTTATTTGATGATAATCAAGTGATGATAGTTTGATGATGGTAGTTGGGTTGATGAGCTATAGTGATTGGACATATTGGTTGGATGATGACGGATGAGCTACTAAGTTTGAGTAACGATGGTTAGATTATGGTAGATAAACTATGGCAATCTATTGATGGTGGTTAGGGAGCTACGATTAAGTGGTCATGAAGCATTTAAGATAATTAGATAATAAGAATTATTAAAAAAATTACGAAATAAAGATTAGTTAAATTCAATTTTCAATATAAACATAATTGAACATTAGATTGATTTGAATTTGAAGATCAAACGATAGTGGAAAGAAAATATTTAATCGGTGATATTGCACATCTTTTCAAATATTTGTAGCACACTTTATGCATCTTTTTGTATTTGAGCTAATTTTGTGCCTATTTTCAATTTGTGAACCTTTGCGCATTCTTTCAATTTTTGTACACATTGTATATTTCTTTTTGATGCCCTTTTTTAAAATTAATTTTACCAAAATTAATAATCTAAAAAATCAAATTTCTCTAATTACAAAGATGATTATATTGAAAAGAGAAATAAAAAATAATAAGACATCAAAATTTTAATAATAATATTTAAATTATGTTTATCTAAAAAGAATATGATATTGATAGTCTTAACTTGATTGAGTTATAAGTTAACTTAAATTTTAAAAAAATAGATTTCATAATAAAATTTATTTCGTATTGCAAGTTAATTTATAACTCTTTTAGATTAGTTAAGATAGGATTATCATATAGTCAGACTTACAATTCAAACAACGAACAAAAGTAACTAATCAAAATAAGACATTTTTTATTGATATCAATTTAAAATCAAATACATTTAAGCACTATTGATATCAATTCATAGTAGCAAAGACAACATGACATCAATAACATCAACATAAAATCTAAACAAATATAAGAACACAAAGCACT